TATGAAAAAATAAATGATTAAAATTTTATATAAATATAATATATAAAATTTATATGTAAATAATTTTTTTTTTCATATATATAGATAACAATGGTTATATATAATCACAATTGAATTTATTAAGGTCATAAAATATTATCAAATTTTTATTTTAGTTTGATTATTAAAAATGATTACTAACTAATAAAACACCTAATATTTATATTTAACAGATAAATTAATTTATAAATAAATATTTTTAAATACTATAATTAATTATTTAAAAAATTATAAATTGATAAAATTATAATTAAATTAATAACCTTAACAAATTTCGTGATAATAACCTCCTCACATATTACGCTAATTATAGACCGCAGTAGCTGCAACAAATTAAGAGCTAGTTACCATTTCAGAGAGCGTCATATACCATATGCGATAATTGATGGCCAAAATGCTAGAAAAGCCCATTTTCTCCCATTCTCTTCTACCTTTTTCTTGCGTTAGTCCTCCTCGCCATCCCAAACCTTGCAAGCTCTGCCTTCGTTCCAGCTGGTAGGTGTCTCCGCCTTCTTTCATCCATCAACACAGCTTATTTATATGATGCTTAATTAATTAAATATAAATGCTACTTTGCTAATTCTTACCTCATCCATCTCCCAATCCATCTGCGCCAAAAGTAGGGAAATATATTGAGACAAAGATTTAGTTTAATAATATTATTTTGTACTGTTCTGGATTTATAATTGTTAAAAATAATATATTATATTATCACAACAAATATTTTAATATTTAATAATTATATATATATATAATATTTATCGTAAAATATTCAATTAAACACATTATTATTTAAAATTAGATTAGTTAATAATTTAATATATAACAAATCATTAATTTTAACTAACTAAATTAGAAATACCTTCTTAATTAATTTTATTATAACAAAACTAATGGATTAAATTCAAACTCACCTTTTTGAAAGCTTGCTTAAAACAAATTAACAAATTACCGAACAGTTCGAATAAAAAATGAATTAATAGACGACTTTTCCAAAAATTTTAAACTATTTTCAGTATGAAAACATGATTTTATTCCATTTCCAATGCAACCTTTTCGCTCAAATCATTGTTCCTTACTCAAAACTTCATCAAAAAAATTTTTTTTTTCTCTGTTCTGCCTTCTTTTTTTTCTCGGTTTTTCTCCAAAACTAACCAAAAAAAATATTCTTCAATGTCAGCCTCCCCCAGAAACTCTCTCAAAACCCAGAAAAATTCTCTTATTTATAGAGGAAATATAAGCCCCCAGAAACCCTAATCTTCTCTCCGTTACCGCCCTTCGATTTTGCCTCTTTTTCACTCACCCGTTGATGACCACATGACAAACGAACTCCCCTCCTTTTTCCGACCATGGATGTTCTTCTGCAGACACATGCAAGCACTGGACGGGCCTGCATCTTTGCCTCTTGCACAGGACGACGAGAAGGAAAAAAAAAAGAAAAAAAAGGAGGGGGCAAATCTGCCGAGAATGGGCGCTAGGGCTCGAAGAGGGCCCTGCCCTCTTTATTTTGTCCTTTTCGAGATCAAAACGGCGTCGTTAGGTGTTGGATCGCATTTCGGCCCAGAGGTTTCACCCACATGCTTCTTTAGCCCATCTATTCTTGACTCGTCACATTTGGGTCCCCGCAAGACAGAACCTCCATTTTAAATGTTTTCATATGAGTACAAAAAATGACAGTAATTTCCAATTAATCTTTATTTTTCTTTGACATTTTTTGTGTTAATTTTCACATTCCATTAAAGCTCAAATATTTAAAAATTTTTCACTTAAAACTGAAAATTTTATGAAAAATTAATTTTTTAGAAAAATAAAAAATTTTCTTTCTTTCTTCTTTTTCTCTACTATATTTTTAAAAAATATTAAAATGAATTACGAAAAAATTGAATTATGACACATAATTTATCTATTTATTTTTAAAAACAGGCAGCAATTTTAGAACACAGCCAACTGGTATCCCCACTGGCAGCTAGTGATGACCACTGACCTTTATTTTATTTTATTTTATTGACTTAATTGACATTAACTTCATTATCATACATATTGTAGATATATCAAATAAGGAAACTGCGAAGCATTTCCTCTTTCATACTTTTCAAATTATATTTGTGTGGTTGACGGGCAATGTAATGGCCACCATTTAATTTGTTAAGTTAATCAATAATTGTTAAAATTTTATATTAATTTGATTATAAAAAATAATTAATAGTTAATAAAATAATTAATATTTATTATTTAACATATTAACATCAATTTATAATTAAATATTTTTAAATATTACATTAACTGATAAAATTACAAATAAATTAGTAATTTTAACAATTTAAATGCTGACTATATCCTAGCCCGGTTGACGGATCAAAA